AATGTCCAAAGTTTAACTATTTCCGAAGTTGCCAAAATTCGAAACTTTAAGGGCGTTCTTCGAAACTTTTGCTTTTGTTCCATTCATACGAAGAATAAGCATTTGAAGAGTTATAAAAGCTGTCAAACTTTCGTAAGTTCAGGGGTCATTTTCGTAACATTTCTTTCTTCTTCCTTGCCCTTGGTATGAAACTTCACATCACCCTTCGTAAGAATTCTCAGCACCAAAATTTTTTCTCTCCCTTTGTTAGATTAAATCAAAGCACCAAATGAATGAACAATTTTCCCACTGATTAACGATATCGAAGGCATTTCTGAATCAAGTCTTAATCATTCAACTCCTCACTGAATCAAAAATTCGTTCTTACAGATCTTCATTCTTCATTAGCAAGCTTTCAATCATTCGTTCATTTAACAACAACTCAACATCAAGACTTCGCATATCACTACTCACTGCTCAATAGCCGATTACTACTCCCATTTGCTTTGTAACCCAAATCTTTGTGTAATTCTTTTATCATTAACCACAAATCCATCGACCACACTGGAACCCTTCACTTTTCAAAAATATTTTGTGAATCTTTTATTTCGAGACCTTCATTTCCATAACATCTTCTTTCAGTTGATACCAACTATCAAACGAGAATCAATTTTTCGAAGCTTCAAAAATGAATTCATCGACTATTCGTTATCAACAATCAAAAATTAGAGTTGAAATTCGCTGAATCGACAAATAAGTATTCAAATTTGACTTTTTCTGTTTGACTTCTAAGAACGCAGTTGACTCGATTGTGTTCTACTTCAATCAAACAAATATGTTCAATTTTGAACATCATCAAGTAAAATTGGTCAACTTTTGACTTTTGATTCCAAGCGTAAAGTTTCGATTCTGAATTTCAAATCAAATCAGTCAAATTTGAGATTAAATCCAAGTCGATTGCAACTTCAAAATATTTTTTGTCCTTCCCTGTAGACTTTGAATGAATACATATATCATACAAATAAAAATTATCCTTGATTTGTGACTTCAACTAGTTAGCAGTTTGATTCCAGATACGAACTAGAATCATTAACCAATTCGACATCGATCCCAAACATTTGACTTTTGATTTCTTTCGATTCTTAAGCTATTGACTCCAAATTCAAATACTTCTTGAGTCGATTCCAAGAAAATAATCAAATTCCAGTTTCAATTTCGATTTAACGATACGAAAATCGGACCTCAATGATATTGAATGAATAAAGAGTACCGAGATATCGAATAGAAAAAAAATTGATAAAGAAACTGAACAGTGTTCGAATAGATGATTGGGCTAATTCAATTTCGAAAAAAAAAATCAAAAATTTGGGCTTCCAATTTATGGATAAGATGAACAGTAACAAGTTGGATTTTGGGCTTAAGACTTAATCAAAACAAAATTAATGTTTATTTTGGTCTTGATCAATATTTTTTTTATTGGATCATCAATGAGGTTGAAACTGATTTGATCCAATGAGACAAATCGATTAAAAATGAAAAACGTAAACTACGAATCGAAATCATGGACGTTTTGGAATCCATTTTAGAATTTGAGATACCTTTTTAACGAATCGAGTTCCATTTTTAACAAACGAATCAAATTTAGAAGATTTTGGTTCTTTTGTTGGAATGAGAAAATCTTCAAATTGAATATTGTACCACCCACTTTGCGTGATGTACAACTCGTTTTTCGTGTTCTTCGTGTTCTTCAAAGATCCAAGAACAACTTCAAAAAAATCACTAACACTTTTGGGTTTTCACTTCAAATTCAATGCAACCTTTGGAGATTGATGCTTTGGAACCCAATTTTGTTTAACGGATTTTGGCTTCACAACATTTGATGATTTTTGTGAGTAAACCCGCTTGTTTTTACGATTGATCTTCTTCTTCTTTTTCTTTCTCATCTTTTTACATCTTGAATACTTGACTTCATGAACAAACCGAATTTCCACAACTTCAACTTTGTGAGTTTGAATCAAATCTTTTGGAGTTTGATACTTGTGAATTTCTTGGATTAGCGGCTTCCGATAATGAATCATTCCTTCAAGCGAATCATAAGAACACAAAATATCATCGGTTTGAACTCCAATCGAGCAAAATACTTTTATCATGAGAATCAACTTGAATTTTCTTATCATGAACATCAACAATATCAAGAACATGATGATCATCGTCAAGAACATGTTCCCGAGCTTCACGATAATTTGCATAAAATCCAAGTTTATTTTCTTCCATACTTGCATTCAGTAAGAGAAATTCCTTTTATGACTTCTCCTTCTTTCTTATTTCTTCGTCTCTCTTGATATGTTGTAACCAAAGGATCAAACAAATATTTTCTTTGATGAATTGGACAACCAATTAATTCTCCATCTTCATTCTTTTCTCCATTTACAACAAGTTCATCTTCACTTTTCAATCCAACAATCAAGCAATAAAGAAGAGATTCAAAAGTGTATTAGCCTTGATAATCTTTACTATATATCATCAATTTCTCCATAATTGCATGAGCTTGAAAAATTCTAGAGAGAGAAAGTGATTTTGAATGGGTTTTCTAGAGAGAGAAAGTAAAAATCACTTCAATTCTAGTGAAGAAAATCGAATTTTGAATAGAATCAAAGATGAATTCGATTTCTAGAATCCAAAAACTCTCTAATACACGAAGATCAATGATCAAAAAATGAAACACCAAATCAAGATATTCATCAACGAACAATTCTTGATGCAATCAAGAACACCCGCTCTGATACCAATTAAAGTGGTGCTGATTATGATGGCATGTGCGGAATATAAAAGATCTAGTGAATCATCATGGAAATCAAAAACACAAGGAGTAAATAAATCTTTGTAAGCTCATATTAGATCTAGAAAGAATATACAAATGGGTTTGTACAAAGTTTCTCTCTCTAGTCTAACACTCCAAAATGGTTCCTTACATAAAATGAGTGTCACTCACTTCTTTATAAAGAAAAGACAACTCATTACACATACAAGTGGGTAAAGCCTCATCTAAATGTGACTTTGCATCTTAATATAATGAACGTAAACAAACAACATAAACAAACGTTTACGAACATAACTGAATGAACGATACCATTTTACATGTTCGTTCGTTTAACTAAACGAACGAGAATTTGTCTTCATGTTCATTCCTTTATTAAATGAACGAACTTCTCGTAAAACGGTTCAAGAACAGTTCGCCGAACATTCAGTTTGCTTGCAACCATATCTATAAAAATAAAAACTGTATCTCCAAAGTTACCGTTATCAACTATTTTTGCTATATATATATATATGTATGTATGTATGTATGTATGTATGTATGTATATATGTATGTATGTATGTATGTATGTATGTATATAGGGAAATCTTCATAAAAGTTCTAAAATTTTGCCCTAGTTTACGAAAAAGTTCCCAAGTAAATTTTGTTTACGGAAAAGCATGAATTATCGGTAAAAATGACGATTTGACCACTTTTTTCCGGTTTACCTATTTTATTACTTACCTGTTTCACTAAAGTCCCATTATTTTACCCTAATTTGCGAATAAGTCCCAAAATAAAATTTACTGACGATTTGGCCATTTTCTCTATGTAACATACATTTTACCGCACTATAAGAAAACAACCCTTTAATGACACACAAAAAATGACACTCGCTGATAGACGACGCGCATTTGTAAGTGCCCTAAAAGATAATGTCAGTTTTGTAAAATTTGAAGGATAGAGGGCACGCATTTGTGCGCGCCCTAAAATTAGTGTCAGAAAAGAAAAAAAATGCGGAGGGCGCCTTTCATAAAATGTGCGTCATGTAAATGTGTCGCTTTATAATTTTTAAGTGAAACACGCGTTTTAGGCGGGAAATAAAATCGACGAAAATTACGCCCGCCTATTGAATCCCAAAAATTAATCCCCCGCCTCTTCTACTTAGCAAGAAAAATCCCTAGGTCATTCATCTTCATCTTCAGTATCATTAAACATCTACTCGATCTCCTTCTTATCAGTATCATCAAACATCTCGTTCACCACCTTCGCCCTATCTATAGTAAATCTCTCTCTCTCTCTCTCTCTCTCTCTCTCTCTCCCCTCTCTCTCTCTCTCCTTCTCTCTATCTCTCTTCCATTAACCACAACAAATGGTTTTTCGAACACAAGTCAGGGAAAACCTAGGTCGATTCAAAGTCATCTTATAAAATCAACATCCCGTTAATTTCAATTTAATGCAGGTAATACATGACCAACTACAAGTCTCTCTCTCTCTCTCTACCCCCTACTGTTCGACAACAACCTAGGCACCCACCACCCCTCGTCTTCTCTCTGGTTCACCACCACCACCAATAAATCCCCATTATACCACAAGATTAAAGAACGAAACATTGGGTTTGTGTTTTTGAATCCCAGATCCACGAAACATAGTCCTATATGTTGCACTATTTTGCTACATCAGGTGTAATCCGATAAACTGTGTAATCCGTTTTGCTGCATCAGGTCTTAAGCTAAAAACGTGTACTTGGAGTACTTGGAGTCCTGCTCAGTATGAAGGTCTCCTTAAAGGAGGTGAACAGGTTACGTCTGTTCTTGAAGAGATGGCTAACCTTGTAAGACATGCTTTAACTCCAACTTCAAATTCCTTACTTTATTGAATTTCTCTCGTTGTGGTATTCCATCAATCATTTGGTGGGCACATGAAAAAAATATACTTATACTTCGATTTTACCCAAATCGTCAAGCATTTGACTTCGTAGAATTGATTTGGAGACCATTTCATTTCATAACCATCGTAATTGCAATTCAACCCAATGTCTACTTATACAACAGTTGGAAGATGACCAAATGGATGAAGAATCTGAGGAGTTAGGGTGCTGTAGGCTGCACAAGGCATGATTGGAAAACGAGTTGATAAGATGGAATCAGGCTTCATGATGGCATTAGATTATATGATCAAGTTAGAGGTTGAAGATCAGAAATTGAAGGTTGAAGGTTAGATATGGGATTAGAAGTCGGAGGTTCATGGTCAGATTGGAAGCATTGGAAATTAGGAAGCGAAAATGGAAGAGGCCCCAGGTTTGAATATCATTCTCTTCTTCTCCATGTATGTACTCTAGGTTTCTTTCTCTTACTTTATCATTTTCTTATGTAATATCAGAACTGTTGGTGATATATCACACACTTAATTTGTCTACTCATAAAGCTTTTTGGAGGGTATCTCCATGAACACGAATCAGTCTCTGTTAGGTCAGTTACTGATGCACGGCCACAAGGTGTTTGGCATAATGTCTATGTTAGCTTTTCACCCAGATGAGACTACTTTTGGCTACCTTGCCTATCGATATGCACCAAAAGGACTCGAGAACAAGATAATTGAACTACAAGACTTGGAATTTAGGTTCAGTTTTACTACTAAATCAATGTTTATTTGTGATGGCTGGTTAGTAGCTATTCAACCTGTTAACAATCTCATCAAAGATGGTGAAATGTATTTTGTTTTAATTAAGGATACCCTTAGTTATTAAGTTTGACATCTTTCTTTGTTGTTGTTGTAGGTTTGACAACCAAAGCAGAAACTCTATTTGGCATGTTATTGAAGCTGGGGTATGGTCACTCTCGGCATTGAAGGAGATGGATAAGGAAACGTCTCTAATTCCACCATGGAATCGATTTTCTAAAAAAGCTCTGGATTAACTAAAAAACTATTATTATCAATATGAAGAATATTTAAGAGGACAGGTTTGCTAATGAGGTGGCCAATGCTAATGCTCGAGTCTCTAGTCCAAAGGATAATTGAGAATCTAATCAGGTTATAAATTGTTGTGTGTATTATATTTCTATATTATATATTTAGAAATTCTGATTTTTTTTCTTAATATGTGTTATTTTAGAACACAAGTTCTTTTGGTATCACATCTGCAGCTTCAACTGAATCTTGAAAGTTCCATGGTCTGTAATCCAAGTGGTCTAGATACTGAAGAACCACCGCCAGTAGCAGTTTTCGACTTGAAAACCTGTGAATTGGGTTCTCTTATAACCCACATACTGAAGAACCACTCCCGACCAGCAGCCTCCCCACCTCCTGCTATTGGTTTACAAAATCCTTACAATGCACGTGCTTCTCATGTGATTGGCATGATCACCAGAAAGGACTTGATATTTGTGGTATCTCAATCTAACTTTTGTATATGTAATATATTTATTATGCCATTAAGTTTTTTTTTATAAGAAATTACAACTTTTTATATGAAGCAGGCCAATAATGATTCAGGTTCTGTGGAGCTCCATTCAACTAGTGTAAGGTCCTTATGATGCCTGCCTGGACTGCATTTCATTACCTTATTGTATATACAACTATGAGATTCTGTTCTAACTAAAATCTTTATCACTTTGGTATGTGTGAAGACTGAAGACGCATCATGTATTAGGGAAAAAATTGTAACTTTTTGTGTTACCCAAGAAGGAAAAATAAATGAAAGTCCCTGTGTGTGGTTGAGAACTTCAATATATGATGCCCTAATAAAAAAACAATGCTATGATTACATGTATTTTTCAATCACATTGCCTTGACAAGAAAATAATTGAAAGTATGATGTTTTGTTATAATACACAACTAAATGAATTAAAAATGCAGCATTGTTGTTTCATGCATTTAACTTGTGGATAAGTTTTTGCATAAGATGCTATAGTTGATGATATCCATTACGACCAACTTTATCGAGGTGTTTTTCTGTAAGTGAAAAATAAAATATTTGCTATTTATATATCTTTTTTTTACAGATACATATTTAATTTTGTTCAAATTTTTGGTGAGATTAGGTTAGCAGAAGCACTTGATATGTAACCACCTGTGATGCCAGAGGATGGTCACACGAGGCTCACAACAGGTGATGATGTCTCATCTCCTGGTACTAGAAAAGAGGCTTCTGTTGCTCAAGCTTTGTGGGATGATGAAGATACAAAAACGTTTTTATGAATGTTTACCTGATCTCAGGTATGCAAGTGTTTATTATAATACATTTCAAAACCACAAATTGTAATGAGAAAAAAACACATTTTTTGTTTCTAGGGCATTTTTTCCTGCTATGTTATTGGGAGAAGCAAAGCAAAAAGGGAATGATCAGTCATCAAAAGCATCAGATCAACCAAGTGTAAGTTCTTTTAACAAAAAAATAGTAACAAAGTTTTTAATTGACATAAAATAAATATATTATGCAGGACTTAACAACACCTGAGTCTGATCAAGGTCAGATTGCTGCCCAAGACACTGCAGAGACATCTGTAAGTGAGAAAAAGAAAGATGATGACGAAAAACATAAAGAAAAAGAAAAAGATGGAGAAATAAAAGCTGAAATTGAAAAAGAGAAGCTTCGGGGTCCTGAAGGAACCAACTTAGACGGCTTAATACAGAGGCTTCCTGGCTGTGTGAGCCGTGACTTAATTGACCAATTGACTGTAAGTCCTCTTCCCTCCATAACATAAATTTTCCTTACAGACTCTCTCTACTTCCATTCTTTTAACTATTTTTTAATTATAATTACTTTTTAAAAAAATCAGGTGGAATTTTGTTATTTAAACTCAAAAGCTTCCCGCAAAAAACTCGTACGCATGTTGTTCAACGTGCCCATAACATCTCTGGAACTGCTACCCTACTATTCGCGAATGGTTGCCACACTGTCAACTTGTATGAAGGATGTCCCTTCTATGCTCTTGCTGTATTTGGTATTGTGAATGACAGTTTCTATTTGTTTTGTAGTTTTAACATTTAAAAAAGAAGTTTGAATGAAAAGTATTGAATTTTAAGTAAAAGAGAAAAAGTAACCAAACAAACAAATTACAAATCTAAGATTGATGATATACAAATACAATGCTAACTAAATTAAAAGATGAGAGTGTTAAATCTGTTATTGTTTTGCATGTGTGTTGCTCCTCCTCAGGTTATGTTCTATGCTTTAGCTGTGGTGATATTTGGTACTGCTGTTCCAGCGGCCAACTTGTTCCAGGTATAATGATTGGATCTACATATGAACACCTTGTTGGCATGTTTGTTGTTAGACTCTATGAAAAGCTCAACATTGAAGAAGGAACGTGAGTTCACTTCACACTCATCTTTTATCTTTTATTTATAGTTATATATATATATATATATATATATATATATATATATTTATATTTATATTTATTTCCAGTTGATAATTTATAATTGACACCTGACAGATATGCTTTGCTTGGAGCTGCCTCGTTTCTAGGAAGTTCAATGAGAATGGTAGTCTCACTTTGTGTTATTATGGTTGAAATTACAAATAATTTAAAGATCTTACCTCTTAGCATTCTTGTTCTCCTCATATCAAAAGTAAGTTTTTTCTTTTATTTTGCTTACAAGTTACAATTTGAATTAAATTAATGAGTACAAAAAGTTTTAGTTTTGAGTTTTGAGTTTTGACCATTTACCTTCCTTAGGCTGTTGGTGAAAGTTGATAGGTTTGTAACTTTGTTACTTCACTCGTGTGGTGAAAGTTGCTGATGTAGCCGCTATTCTGAGGACTAACAATCATAATGGCTTCCCTGCATATATGTCATTTTCCATTTCCTCTTCCCTTAAAAAAAAAAAGTTAAAAGTTACATCTCTACAATAACAACACATGACATTTAGGTTGTAGATTAGTCACGCAGTGGAGAAACAATGGTAATAGGTCTTATCTTGTATAATTATAAACAATAAAATCTTAAACCCTAAATAGTTATTTTTTTAGTAGTAGCAGGCAGGCTTAAGAAGTTTATATGTTTGTGATACAGTCACTTGTTGGTACTTCTGCAGTCGAAAGCAGATTTTCAGCATAGCCCATCAAGTAGGTAGATAACTACTTCATTGGACATTCTAATCTTTTAGGCTGAGAGGGCATTATTTCCTTTATAAGACTTTTGCATAGATAGACAGTTAATATGAACCTGATGGATGTCTGATTTGCAACTTGCAGGCACGGTCTTAGCGACTTTGTGAAGCCTGTTTCTAGTAAAGGACTATCAATATCTGATATCCATCTAACTCTAGATGATTTGGAAGCTTTGGAGGAAATGAGAGTCAAGCAAAAGTAAACACACAGAGAGTTGTTGGCACATAGTAAGCTAGATGATGCAATTGTATATAAATGAGTTCATTTTTTTTTATAACATTTACTCACTTTTGGAATAATTATTTGTATGACATATTAGTGAAATGAATTATCTTTGTTATTTATGGTATTTTATTTTGTATTGTGAGAATTTTAATGTACTATTTAATTTAAAAATTAGTAAATCTATAAATAATATTTTTTTAAACATTTAAAATTATGATACGCAAAAATGTGTGTCATCCTCATTTATGACATGGTCTTTCTTGACAGGGGCTATCTTGATACGCATTGCGTGTCATTAACACGCACGTCGTAAGGTTACGACACGCCAATGCGTGTCGTCTGTCGTAAACGCGCGTTGTAAATGAGCGTCGTCTCTCTTTATGACAGGGCCTTCCTTGACGCGTATTTGCGCGTCGTCTGAGCCTTTTACGACGCGCAATAAGCGTCGTAAAAGGCTGTTTTTCTGGTAGTACCGGTTTCATTACTTACCCGGACGCCTAATCATTAAATGAGATGATGAGATGGATATGTTGAGTTATATAATGCTATGTTTAGCATAAAACTTGATATCCTGATGAATTGTATATCTTTTTGGAACATAAAATGCATCCAATGAACACTACAATAATTACATAAACTAACAAGAACTGCGTTATTTTTTATGTTTATAAGAGATATCAAATTGTCGATCTAATCTTATGTAACCCAATATATCCATCTCATCAGACATCAACTCATTTTCTGCCATTTTTTCTTGGAAACACACATTTTATTGGTTTCATTGCTGACGTAGATACATAGTCATAAATGAGCCTATAGGATAAGTATCAAATTTTATAGTAAATGTGACATTATATAACACATCGTATTCATCTTATCAGCTAAGTTAATGATTAGGTGTCTAAGTCAACAATGAAACCAATAAAATATATGTTACATGATGAAAATGGTCAAATCATCAGTAAATTTTATTTTGGGACTTATTCGAAAATTAGGATAAAATAATGAGATTTTAGTGAAACATGAAAAGAATAAAACCGGTAAACCGGAAAAAAGGATCAAATCTCCATTTTTACTCGTAATTCATGCTTTTTCGTAAACAAATTTTAGTTTGAGACTTTTTCTTAAATTAGGATAAAATTTTAGGACTTTTTTGGATATATATATATATATATATATATATATATATATATATATATATATATATATATATATATATATATATATATATATATATATATATATATGATGAGAATTGTTATCGAGATTTAGAATGCAATCATGATTGTATGAATGAAAAGTATGAACACAGGAAATAAATATTTACCAGATCTTATATTGATGAAGAACTGATTACAAAATAAGCAGAGAGAAATTGCGAATGATTAATGAATCACTCGTGCATTCAGTTTCTCTACTTCTAACCTCAGTCCCTATTTATAGGAAACCTGAGTGTACAAAAAATATACTAAGTCCTGAACTATAAGCTTCGCACAAATGAAGACTTAGTAAAATAACTAACATTCGAAACAAAAGAAACAAACATTTCTACTTTTACAACATTTAGTCTCTACAATCTCCCCCTTTGTAAACAGTCGAAACTACTCAGTTTGTGAGATGCTGAATAGCTGAGTTCATTGTTCTTCTAATTTCTGAATACCAAGTAATTATCTTTTTAAGCTCCTTCCTGTCTCCTTCATTATTCTTCGAGCAATTATTCATACGAACTATGAAATTCGTATATTGCGAAGTGCTGTATCTTTCAATCTCTAAGACTTTAAACAAAAACTTCTTAGGCTTCCCCTTTGTATCTTTTCCTGTGAATACCATGCCAAAAGGTTTAAGGCATATCTCCCCATCTGAATATTTCTTCAATTCTGTTTGAGACAAAGTAGACTCCCAAGGATTTGTTACTTGTTTTCCACGAACTGATGCAAGTTCTTCATCAGTTAACACCAAGCAATCATAGTAGTTATCTATGAATTTCTTGATATATGCGAAAACAAATTTGAACACATTTGTATGATATCTGGAATTTATTTTCTTCCATTTATTTCAGTATCAAAGCCACTTGAATAAGATCATTCAGATTCATCAATGGGAAGTCAGCAATAGTAAAATCAACATGCTTGTTATCTGCTCGAACAACAAAGTATCGGAAATTTTGAAGAATGTTCTCGAACAGTTCATCCTTCTTAATAGTAAGCACTTTCTTAATCTTCATCAAATACCAAACGTCATCTTGATCCTTCGCAAGTACAACATGAAATCTTATTTTCATTGAAATGTATTCATCAACATTTTTGAATTTTTCACTGATCTTGTACTGCATTATCACAAATATCATCTCATTAATTGGAAAGTCAAGTTGGCATCTATCTGAATTTGTAACATCATAACTTCTTCTAGGATTTTTCTCAAACTCATACATATGACTTCCCACGGCTTTAGATTTAATGGTTTCATATGAGTACAACTTCGCAGGATCACCCTTGTTCATTGTTGGTGGGTCATTTGCTCTTTGCCTCATAATACTCTGTACTTGTCTTAATTTTTCCATTTCAGCTTCCGCCACTGCTCTCTTTTCTTCTTTTGACTTTTAAATAAGCATCTCTTTTCCTTTTCCAGCAACCATTGTTTGAGGTTTCGCACTCGAACTTCCTCCTTCAGTTGAACCAATGACAATTCCCTTGAGAATTGGCTTTGTTGTTACTATTGTTGAAGGAATTGGTTTCGTGAGTACTGGCAAAGTTGTTTTGAGCTGAGTGGAATGAATCTTCCCAACAGTTTTCGCATCTTCAAATTTACATCCTTTTATTTCTCCCCCTTGCATCCCTGTGAAAGCAGGCGGGGCATTCTTTGGCAACAGAGAAGTAAAATTGGTAATTGGGGCCAACGCCTTTTGGATAGCTTGCTCTAAAGTATTAAATTTGAGAGTTAAAAATTCCGGAGTAAGAATTGTTTGTTGAGAAGTCTGCGAAACACAACTTTTTAATTCAGTAGCCAATTGAATTAATTTTGAAAACTGCTCCTTATTCTCTTGATGCTTGGCTTCGATCATTTGAGCAAATGGTTGATAATCAGTAGCAAGCTTGGTCACTGCTTCAGTAATAATATCAAGACATTTTTGTACATCTAAATTTTGCGAATGAAGGTCTTGAATCTCCTTTGCATTTTCTGCCTTTAACTCCTCAATTTTGAAGTTAACATCTTCTCTGACCTTCTTCACATCTTGTACAAAAAGAACATGTCGTTCTTTTGTAACAATTTTCAAATCTTTTATAACGCCATCAAAAGATTTTCCTTGAGCTTGAATGCGAAACTCATTATTCTTGTCAGAATCATCAACTTTCGCAATGATATGCTTCTTTGCAGCTTTGATAATAGATTCAACCTCCAATCCCGATATAGATGACTTTGTGCCAGCATCATCTTGTGATTGAATAATGGCATTCAACTTACGATTCAATATTTTAAACTGCTTACCTGACATTAGCATATGATCAGGTATTTCCTCTTCCTCTGAATCAAAGTGAATGGCTTCAAACATTCCTCCAAAACCTCCTCCTTCGGTTTCTTCATCAGACTGAGCTTGTGAAGGTATAGTTTGTGGTGTTTCAGGTGATTGAGATGGAAACAATATAGTAAAGGGATGTTTCAAAGGATGATCAAATATGGATGATGTAGTTGAATGTGTATTTGGAAGAGGAAATGGTGGTAATGAAGTAGATAAGATAATTGGCTCTGTGAGTTCAATATTTGTGATAGGTGTCCCCGTATTAGATACGTTAACAACCTTATCAGAAATAATTTCTTCCTCATGAACTAAGGTGTGTGTAACAACTTCAAGTGGTGTGGATGTGGTAGTGGAAATTTGCGAAGTAATTGGAAGAGTAACAGTTACCATTGTGGAAACAAGTGGAGTTTTCGGAACCACTTCATCATCTGATGACTCATTTTGAATAATCAACTTTCGTTTCTTGTATAGCTTTTGAGTAATATGGTTCGCAACCTTTGTAGCTCTTCTTCTTTTTTAACCAGGAGAAATAGGAGCCGGAACGTCTCTAAAAATTGCTCCTTTACTACTCACCTCAGTTTTGCGAATAGTTGATGAAGTAGTTGTCGTGTGTGCTGATTTGCGAAGCTTCTTTAATACCCCTGATTTTTTTGGTATTGTTTCCTTCTTCTTTTTGGGAGAAGACTCATCTTTCTAGACGCCTTCATCCTTTGACACTTTGCAACAACCAACATCTTCAATTCTTCTGGGTAGGATGAAACATTAGGATCAACTTGGTAGTTTGTGCTTTGAATCTTCATAAGAGACTGTGAAATAACTTCATCGGTGTTGGATTGAGTAACAGCCATTATTAGGGTTCAAAGAGAAGAAAGAATTAGAGAATTTAGGAATTTTTGTGTTTGATCGCGTAACCGTATAACACCCTCTTTAACCCCCTTTTATATATAACCCTGATTGATTTGAATTTGAAGTGGGATGCATTTAATGATATCCGACGTGGCACCTTGAAAATCGGACCATTACTGCGAAAAGTTAGCCATGTTTCAAAAAGCAACTGTTAAATCGCCTAGAAAACTGAGCAGAATACCATTCGTCACGTATACACAGTCTGTCAATATTCCCTTTATTGAATTGTAACCGTTAGAACCCTTCGCATGGAGGCAAGGCTCTTTCACTTTTGGGATGAAAAGCGAAGTCATATGCCAGACTTGCGAAATCTTCAGTCTAAGTTGGTATTACTTAGAACCTCAAGGATTTCGTGAGTGCAGTGTTCCAAAGAAATAAGATAAGAAGCAAGAATTTTTTTTTTGGAATTTTGTGATGTCAAAAATGCAATTTGACACGAAAGCAGTTAAACCCCAGGCAAAGGTTGCTTCGTTAATCATCAAGAAAGATGATCAACAGCTTGTGTATATTCCCGTGAATTACAATTGAATACTTTTTGATAAGTATCAAAGGGC